GACGGTTCCGTATAGGGTACAGGTTCGAATCCTTTCGGAAGACGAATATTTCTGTGAAAATTTGTTGGACATTCAGGCCGGTAAATGTTGTTTATTATAAATAGAGCATTTACTTAAACATTTTTATCTATAAAAAGAATGTATAAACATAAAAATGTCTTAAATTAATTGCCGGACTTTGTCCATTTCATAATGTGTGACGTCATTTGTTTACATTTGGATGCGCTTTGAGCAGATATATATATATGAATATATCTACATACATTTGCATGTATACACAGGGTGCGATGGGTAAATTGTCGCTATTTTATATTTTTTAATTTCGAGCATGCGCGTTGTTTGTTTATTATTTTGTCGACTGCACAATAAAGTAGGGTCAGTTTGGCATCGTCTGCGAGAATCCACTCCGCAAGAAATATACAAAAAGAGCATACTTGGCAATTCCGGCGGAAGCTCCATTGCGAACATTTCAAAGTGTTTGGGTGTCAATCTGAAGACAGCGCAGATGATTCTGAATGAGTTGGAAGAGTCTAATGGTGATTACGAAGGTGTTTGGAGTGATAACTAGTGATGGCGACGTTATGCCACCATTCATCTTCCCACATTACCTACATCAAGAGCCTTGAGGAGTTAGTGCTGCTCTTGGTAAAAAATGTGACTGCTGAAAGACTTTATATCTGGCAACAGGACTCTGCACACGACAATGTATCTTTAAAGATCTTCAAAAAAAAACTATCAAAATACAAGGACCTTAAAAGCGAAACCTCAAAAATGCTGCGCATGAAAACATTAACAATTCCAGATGTAGTTGGAACCCTCGGATTGATTAGACTCATGGAAGGAACCCCTGGTAGCACATGCCTTAAAGAAATAGAAAAAAAATGTACTCACAAGTGCAGCCCGCACCTTACGAAAGGCTTTATTTATGTAAAATATGTGCGGATTTTTGGGGTTTTTTTTCTTCAAAACTGCTCAGTGGAAAATGTCATGATGCCATTTCTGACCTTAGGTCTCTGGTCGGGACCCGGAAAGAAATGAGTATACACCAGAAATCAAAAGAAATAAAACAATAAGTGTCGCCTTTTTATATTCCTAATAACGCGCATGCGCATTGCTTGTTTTTGATTTTATCGACTGTACTCTATAGTAGGGTCAGTTGGGTGCCGTCTGTTAGAAAAAGAGTACGATGATGATGCAGTTCAATCCGCCAGAAATTTGGAAATGGTATTCTCTTGTGCTTGACATTCGCACTAGAACCTCCAAGACGAAAATTTCAGTGTGTTTAGGTGCCAATCTGAGGACAGTGCAGAAGATTCGGAAAGACTTGGATGATAAATCCAGTCAACATCATGGAGTTTGGAGTGATCACTAGTGATGGTGACGTTATGCCTCCATTCATTTTCCCACAAGGGCCTCAGACTCAACACGGAGGTCTCTATTGTGAATTGAGAGGATAGTGATACTCTGCTGGAAGACCCTGTGTCTGGCAACAGGACTCTGCACCATGCATCACAAACAGGAGAACTCAATCATGATTGTCAGACAATTACTGCAACCGCATCACCCCTTATATCTGGCCACCTAACTCTCCAGACTGCAACCCACTTGATTATTATGTGTGGGGTGCAGTTGAGTGAGAGACAAACAAAACTCCTTGTAGCACCAAAGATGAACTGAAGGCAAGGATTATGGCAGCATTCACCCACTTAAACAAGGAGACCGTCCAGAAGAGATGCAGGAGATTCCGAAGTTGTCTGGAGGCCGTGGTTGAAGTCAATAGCGATTTTATTGAATAAATTTTTCTCATGTTACAAAATTCCAGAAACATTGCACTTAATCATTGTTTATGTGTGTGGTTATGTATGAGAACGTGTGAGTGAACAAGTGAGGACGAAACGAACGAAACCATATTGTGAAAAATGTTATTTTCCTCACGAAATAAGGCGTGCCGTTCACAGATTCAAACGGGCCGCAAGTGATCGGTGGGCCGCAATTTGTCTATGCCTAATCTAGGGGCGTAACATCCACCAGACAATCTCCTACGATAGACACAGGAAGACACTTTTGGTGCATATTCGATACTCTCATAAAGGTACACACGTCCGCACACGACCTTTAAAAACCCTAATTTAATTTTTCCTTTATGAGGTTTAAGAGAAACTATTATCGTTTTTATATATATATATATATATATATATATGATTACTTTGAATGTACTTTTACAATACTGAAGCAAAAATAATCTTTAGCTTTTTCATGTTAAGGTTTTTCTTTCTTTCTGTTCAGATTACCTCATATCTGTTTGTTGTACGACTTCAAAAATGGCTCTTAAGGAAATGAAACGGCAAAAAATATTCGTTCTGTCTGTGAAAATGAAGCTTTAATTATCCAAGGATATTTTGGTCATTTTCAACGCGAACATTCTCTCGAAGGTTTCCCTTGATCTAGACGACCAAGTTCTATCAATATTTCTTCTTCTTCTATGTGCCGTGTCCCTTCAGGACGTTGGCGATCATGGCTTCTCAAAGTTTCCTGTACTTTGAAGCACTTAATAAATTTTTGTCTTTTTGTTATCTCCCCTAATCCTTCTCCCGCCTTCCATTTACTCAAGCTCGCTAGGTAGTTTTATTTTGTTTAATAATTTAATTTTAATCAATTTTTTTTTTATCAATTGACCCCAAGCAAGAGATTAATGCCACGAAGAGACAAGGGGCTACTGAAGGGTGAAAGAGAATTATAAGACTTTAGAAGGAATCGGAAAACCAGTCTTAAACAGGGAACATTTACTTTAACGCTATACTTCTAACGTCTCCGCCTAAACTCTGAAATTTTATTTACATTTTTTTTTTTGTCAATAACAGTATTTAGGTCCGTTTCATATTTCTTCCCGGCCTTTTCGACAGGATTAGAGGTGTATCCCTTAAGACCGGGAAGGTACGTGAACCGGATGATAGGCGAAAGTATCTACTGCTATTGAAGAAAAATAAAAATAAATTTTTAATAAAATTTCAGAGACGTTAGAAGTATAAACTTAAATAGACTTTAGACGGAACCGGAAACCCTATCCTAAAGAGGAAACAAGCGATAAACCTCTTCTCCGCTACAAACCGGGGAGGCGTGTTAACTGGACGATAGGCGAAGCTATGAAGCCGTTGAAATCTGTCTATTCCGTTAAATAAATAATAAATAAAATTTCAGAGTTTAGGCGGAGACGTTAGAAGTATAGAGTTGGGGTGGGCTTTAGAAGGTCATGCACTGCTTGTCGCTGTCTCCTTCTGAAAACTGTGTTTAGAAAATCCGAAGCGAATTACAATAGAATTAGCAAAAAATTCATCCCCACCAATCATAAAACAGTTCCATGAACTCAGAAAAGTGTCGAAACTTGGTCAATGTGTCCCTCATCATCTGACTTATTTTAGTTTAATCAAAGAGTTGCCATCTGTTCGTCATTGAAGAATAGACTTAAAAATCGCTCCTTTCCAATGAAGAATCATCACTAATGATGAAAAGTACGTTCTCTGTAATTATATCCATCGAAAACGACAGTAGTTGGCATCCACTTAAAAGGAGAACCAATTCCCAAACCAGGACTACACCCGAAAGAAAATTACGCTCCGTATTTGGTGAGATTTAAAGAGCGTCGTCTGTTATGATGTGATAAACCAAAACGAAAGAGCGCATGCAGAAAAATATCGTCGTCAACTGGATTCATTGCACGAAAATTTACAGAAAAAAAAAAGCGCCAATCATTAGTCAATCGCAAAGGCGTATTGCTTTTACATGATCATTGGAGGCTGCATCTAGCCTGAGTCAATCAGGAAAGAATTACAGCATTAACTAGCAGCATGGCTCGGCGTTGCCCGACTCATACAGCAATCGCTATCACTTGACTTAAAATATTTTTGCTCTTCCTTGCCTTTAAACGAGTGCCCTTTGCCGTGCTGATGTTGCTACATGCCTTACTTCTTGCCTATCTCACACTGCGAATTTTTTCTAAGTTCTATACTAAACATTAAATCTGTTACGAAAAAAGAACTAAACAAAATGAACACAAAACGATCAGCTTTAAAAAAAGGACTCGTAACTGGAAAAACCGAATGAAAAAAGAATGTTAACAACAAATACTTTTTCACACACAACCCAGTTCTGTGGAATCAGAATCAACGTTGAGTTTAAGCAAGTGAATGAGCCAATTGGAGTAAAGTGCTATGCAGATTTAAATTTTTCACCCTTGTGACGAATGCAGTTATCGATTTTTTTTTTTTTTTTTTGCATGCTAGCATGCTAGTTAACATTCGTGTTAGTCAGCTGTTGGCTCTCACGCTGGCCAATAGAATCTTCCTGCCTATTCGTGGCAGCCAGCTATTGGCTCTCACTCTGGCCAGTACAAAATGGTCGCAAACTACACGAAAACTGCCGTAGAAGCATGAAAAAATCGATTATTTCCACTATATGAGTTGGGAAATGGTTATTGCAACTTTTTGGCAATGAAAACAGTCTATTAATCGCGAAGAGTTTAAAACTGGGATTGAGTGATTCTTTGCATTGGAACCTGAAGAAATTAACGCTAAAGGAATCAACAATTTGACAAAGACATGGGATTATGTTACTGATAATAGACTGACAGTCATATAGATACACATGAATAGGCTTTGATACATAGACAGATATATAGATATGAAAAGAGATAAATAGATAACAAGCAGAACAAGATAAATATTGATTGATTTATTAGTTGATTCGCTTTCTACGGCTTATCAACCCTTTGCAGGTTATTTAAAGGTAGAAAATATTTTTAGAATGTAAGTTTTTTTAGATCATTAGGGATACAAGTCTTACTAATTAACCTATAGTTAGGGGAGGAGAGATAGATTGATATCTTTCACAAGGGTATTTGCATGGAAGTGAATATAATGAGCCCAACGGGAACTGAAACTCGGTTCTCCGATTAAAAATCCCGAGCCATTATCCACTACACCACCCGCATATCTAAGCATAAGGCAACCGGTATTTCCAAGAAGTCACCCATCTAGGTACTAAGTAGACTCGAAGTTGCTTAACTTCGGTGATCGTATGGAAACCGGAGTTTCAACGTTATGTGACCGTAAGATAGATAGATAGATAGATAGATAGATAGATAGATAGATAGATAGATAAGAGAGAGAAAAAGATGAACAGACTGAAATAGATAGGAACAGACTGACATAGATAGATAGATAGATAGATAGATAGATAGATAAGAGAGAGAAAAAGATGAACAGACTGAAATAGATAGGAACAGACTGACATAGATAGATAGATAGATAGATAGATAGATAGATAGATAGATAGATAGATAGATAAAAAGAGATAGAGAGAGAAAGAAATATGAACAGACAGATACGAACAGACTGACATAGATAGATAGATAGATAGATAGATAGATAGATAGATAGATAGATAGATATGAACAGACTAAGAAAGAAAGAAAGAAAGAAAGAAAGAAAGAAAGAAAGAAAGAATCGGACTTAGAGAGATAGAGGGGAGCAGACTGAGAACGATCGATAGATAGATAGATAGATAGATAGATAGATAGATAGATAGATAGATAGATAGATAGATTTGTATGAAAATGAAATCATATTTTTCATTATGTTCAAGTTTGTTTTTCAATATGCCTTACTTATGTTATATGCTGAGTCAGATAGACACATATGTATGTCTACCAATTTGTATGTTTGTCTTCATATATACAGTGTGCGATTGTCGTCTAAATTACGCAAAAAATGAAAATAACACTGACATCTCAGTTTAACAGATATAGTTACCAAAATTACATAAAAATATCTGGAAATACTAAAGAGAAAAATTTATTCAATAAAATCGCAAGTAGCTTCAACCACGACCGCCAGACAACTTCGGAATCTTCTGCAACTCTTCTGTGTGGTCTACAAATATTTCATCGTTTTAAAACATTGGCAGTTTTTCACTAAGGAAGGTCATAGGTAAGGATAATTCTGACTTACTAGATAGATAGATAGATAGATAGATAGATAGATAGATAGATAGATAGATAGATAGATATGAAGAACAGACTGAGATAGATAGATAGATAGATAGATAGATAGATAGATAGATAGATAGATAGATAGATAGATAGATATGAAGAACAGACTAAGATAGATAGATAGATAGATAGATAGATAGATAGATGATATGAAGAATAGATATGAAGAACAGACTGAGATAGATAGATAGATAGATAGATAGATGAACAGATGAGATAGATAGATAGATAGATAGATGATAGATAGATAGATAGATATGAATATGCTGTGATAGATAGATAGATAGATAGATAGATAGATAGATAGATAGATAGATAGATAGATAGATGTAAGCGGGAGAAGTTCATTTAAAGAGAGCCCTGATTGCCCGCGTCCGGAAGAGGCAAGACATATAATAAAAGAAGATAGAAATTAAAAAACATTAAAGGAAAAAAGCAAGAAGGAAACGATTAGATCCGAAATGGAATCAAGGAGAGAAGAAAGACAAATTCAAGAAAGCAAGAAATAAAAAAAAAAATAAACAAAGTCCATCTTAAGACAAAGATTCATTTGTTTTCTTCCGTCTCCATTTCTCCTCCATTAACTTTGCATGCTAACGTTTCTTCACCTGACTGATGACTATAAACCGTTTCCTTCGAGTCAAGACAAACGGACACAATGAACAATGGACAGAAATCAGCCGGTAGACAAATAAGTTAGTGAATGAATAAATAAGCTTCACTGACTTCTTTATCAGATTTCACTGACAAGACAGTTATGTTTTTTTTTCTTTCTTTAATTGCTAAGAGGAGCAACAGTGAATCTGTCTGTGCTTTTTATTGTTATTTTGAACAAAAATCGTTTCATTCTTCCGGCGGGGACGAGACAGGCGATCGGCTTTCACTGTTTTTCGTTGTATTCACAGTGTCAAAAGGTCGGAAGCTTGCTCCTAAAAGAAAAGAAAGGTGTTCGCTCTTACTAAAAATCTATTATCTTACAGTCATTCCTCACTTAACGACCGGGTTCCGTTCCAGCTACCTGGTCGCTAAGCGAACTGTCGTTAAACGAGTCGGTCGTTAAATGAGAAGTAGTAACCTGGCCGCCATTTTCAGTCATACTGCGTGTGTCAATCGGTTTCAGATAGGTTTAATGTCCTTTTTGCATAGTTACCTTCACTGATTCTCTAAAAACATTAGCACAATGCTCTAAATTTAATAAAAAAAAAATTTTCTTGTCAAAATCTTTATGCTATCATTAAGTGGAAAGACCAAAGGACTTTTTTACTATCAATTTTTTTTTTCCATTATTTTTAGAACTTTCGAAATTTTGATTAAAAATGTTGTTTTCTTGCGTCAGCGGGCGGACCAAAGATTAGTAAAATTTTAGTATCGTTTTTGAGGCGAAAAACACATTGATTTGGAAATCCTTGCAAAAATCAAATAATTATCGGATTTTAATGACACATGGAATTATTTACATTATTTACATTGTTCGGTCTGTTGTCCTCATCTTTATTGCCATATTCACGGCGTTTCGGTCGTTATACTCTCCGTCCTTCTTCAGGTTATTGTAATTTCGAACTGAGCCCTTTTTTTTCGTCCACCAGAGTAGATTGGTCTAGTTCTACGTGTCATGCCTCTTTCGGCCGTCTAATTTATCTCCCTTTAACTTAATTCTCAACGTTTTTGTACACCACAGCAGTAGCCAGGTATTAAACTCATAACTCTTTGGATCAAGTCACTTTTATCCACTAGGCCATGTGTCCTTGAGACATCTGGGAGTGGCATAGCACTAAGAGTAAGTCATAAGGGAAAGCAGAAAAGGCTTTCAAATCTCGCGCCACCTGTGATTATCGTTAGGGGGCGGTAATCCAACACGTCTTTAAGACACCTATCACCGTCCTTTGCTAGTTTTATTCTAGCACAAGGCCACAAATATAGAGCAACTAACGAGGAAAACGGATTTAAGACATTTGGCGCTATCAGTTAATCTTAGTCTAGTCTAAGGTTACTAATGAGAAAGAATTCAAGAAAATTCATACTTTCAATCCGAAGGCACACTGGAATAGCAAAAGAACCTTTCCAAAAGTTGGATAAAGTATAAAGAAACGGAAAAAAAATATCTTTGGAAACAAAGAAAAGTGTACTAAACTGTTATGTAGTGTTATTCCTCCTCTATGGCAGTGAATGCAACACAATCTTCTCACAGATGAAGAAGCGACTTGAAGCAACAGAAATGGGATTCTACAGGAGGATGCTGAGAATACCATGGACCGGACATTTGAGCAATAATGAAGTTTTAAAGAAAGCGGCAACAAAAAGGACACATACTTAACATCAGGTAGAGACAGTTGAAATTCTGGAGAACAGAATGAGGAAAGATGGCTTGGAAAATTTGATACTCACAGGACAGATTGACGGTAAGAGGGCCAGAGGAAAGCAATGCACAACCTACCAGGCAAACTTGAGCGAATAGACAGCGGGGCAGGTTTTGGGAGAGATGGCAATAAGACAAACGTTATGAAGAGCTATACAAAGGACAGGAAATTGTGGAGAGCCAGGATCACCATTGTCCTGAAGGGAAACGACACAAAGAAGAAGAAGAAGATTTTCAATTAATCTTTCTCGGCTACAAGGCCACATACGACATTAAAAATCGATCGGGCAACAACGATAATAGCTTGATAAACTATCTCGCTGATAATTACGCTATAAGGATTTAAATATGGGTCTGCGTTCGCCCTGATCTAATAAAAGTCATTTTTTACAAGGTAACCAAAATTGTCTTTGCCTTTTTTTTATTTATTTAAAAAAAAAACGTATACAGCAAATTTGACATGTCGTTAGTCACCATCGGCCAATGTGCATCCAGTTGCAATGACCGAGATTTCCCACCCCCTCACTGAGTCAGGTTGTGACACAAGGTCGGTTTTTAACGCTGGGTTAAGACGGTCCTAGCTTGTCTAAGCTGGTCATAGCTCGTCATAGCCGGTCATACCGCCGCTACATAACAGATGTCACGCAATAGTAGAAGGAACGCAAAGGAAGAGAGAAGGCTTCCGGCACGGAACAGCATGTCATTTCCCGGAAGGAAAGCACCCAGCGGTAAGAATCAGGTGTCTTGGATGTACACAAGTCTGTGAGTGTCTGCTGCTAGTTTGCCTCATTTGCGAAGGATTTCCCACGAAGGTTGTTTTCCAGAGAATGAAATAGGTGGTAATCTGTTGGCGTTTCAAAAATAAGTCCATTTTTTTTTAAAAGTAAATTAACAATGTTTTGAAAGAATATATTTATGCAGTTGGGATACTGGAATATTAAAAACAGGAAACAAACTTCCTGCTACAGTACTACATCCGGCAGCGAGGCGTCTGATCGACAGATCGGAGGCTTTGAGGAGCGTGGAATCATCTCTTAATTGCTGCTGTTCCCAGGTCCACCTTGACCTGGGGTGGTAGCACCTGTTAGGGTCCCAGCTATGGGCAAATAGGGAATCCCCAAACAAAACACTATGAAAGTATAAAAATACATTTTTATAGTAAAAATATGAGCAATGCATTTTCATATATAAAAAAAAAATTAGCAACGATATCTATTTATAGTAAAATTTGCAGCCATATTTTTAAAGCAACATGAACAGCAATACATTTTATCTGTATTTGAAGGCAGACAATTGCATTCAAAATATATTTAGTCGAAGTCATAAAATCGTTTTAATTATTTACATTTCGGCATTGACTGACTCATAGAGGTCGATATGTCTCTAAACAATATCAACCAAGCAACCAACATGAAAGAACTGTTTGATAACATTAATCCATATAATATCCTATAATTTATTAATGAAATTAAACTGTGTATAATTTCAACAAAACTACAGCATAAAACACAAATATAACCGCCTCTCGTAATTGTGTCCACACAAAAGTGTATATGAACAAAATCTGAGTATCATCTACCATGTATTCAATTGTGAAAGCAGAATAACATATTTTTATTACTTCAAAGCTCCATACTATTTTTCTTTCAATTTCTTCCTTTAAAATTTGGTGGGGAGGCGTTTAATGTATCAGAGTGTGTTATA